CATGCATCGGTAAGTATAATTTAATAGGAGATTTAAAAGACAATAAATGTTAGTTTTTTTCAAAAGAAACACAGTATCTGAAAGGTTTTAAGATGTGATCTTATTTCATAGAGGACAATGGTAAGGATCAAAGCGCGGGAGTATAACAGTCCAGAATTTGATTAAAATTATGGACTGCAATAAGACATATAATAGTTACCGTGAAAAGAATATTATTGATGCAATATGAAGGAATGTATTTCACATATGACAAAACATTTTTTTTTAATTTCCATTTTTTTTCTGCATAATAAAATGAAAAAAAAGGTTTAAATGCATTAAACATGCGATAGTCAAAAGAGGTCGCAAAATCAATGCGATACAGAATGGGGTGTATTAGATTATTAATTACTAGGAATATTTAAATCGTATGATAATGTAATCGTTTAACAAAAGATAATACAGTTTAAAAGGTAAATATTTGTGCACATTTCTTTTTAATCAGTTCTTCATAGAGCATTTCAACAGCTTTTCGTAATTGAAAAATAAGGCCAACTTTAAAACAATGTTTCTTTGCCGTCTCCAGACTAAGAAAAAGAGTCGGAAGGTCGTTGAGAATTGTTTTTTATTTAAAAATTCATTTTCAATTGAAAAAAAAAATATTGTTTCCAGAATACATTAAGAAAAGTATTCCTTCCTAAAGATAAAAAAAAATATTGATTCAGTGCATATAACTAGTCGACAGAGAGAGGACAAAATGCATTTGTAAAGAACGTTTTTTTCTTAAAATTTCATATTAATTTGCTTGGTTCAATAAAACCAATCTGATTCCAGTTATCATAATCATTAATATCTGATTAGTTCAGTTGAATGTTATCAATTTCCTGGTCACTAACTAAATTCTTAACATATCTTTTATCAAACTGTCTCGTGCGTGTGTACTATGTTATGTAAATAGGAAACACATTTACTAAAAAAAAAGAAGTCTATTATAATCTACACTATATAAAAATCATATTTTTTTTCCGTAAAAGATCGATGATACCATTGTGATATAAACAAAAACTGATAATAGGCGATCCTATTGAAATTTCAAATTGACGTTTTTTAAACAAATTTTTATTTGACAACGAAAAATAGCAACAATAATGGCACATTTTCATTCTTGTCATTTATTTTTAAACATGTATATAAATATCTTGCAATAATTTTAAATGAAAGTTTTTTTATTAGCGCAAAGTCAAATTTCTTTTCATTTAAAGAATATATTACTTGTAACTTTATTGGATGTGTTCGTCGTGGGTGAGTGATTGATTGATTGATTGTATGTTGTTTAACGTCCCTATCGAGAATTTTTCACTCATATGGAGACGTCACCGTATGCCGGTGAAGGGCTTCAAATTTTGACCTTTACTCGGCACTCAGGGCCATTGAGTAGTGAGGGATCTTTATCGTGCCATCGCCTGCCGCTGACACGGGGCCTCGGTTTTTAAGGTCTCGATCATCCGAAGGACCCGCAACTTTCACTTCAAAGTGCCGAGTGCATGGCGAAGGAACAGTTGCTACCCATTTTATCGACTGGGTCAGTCGCGGCCGAGATACGAACTCACGACCTCCCGATCACGGAGCGAGTGCTCTACCGACTGAGCTACCGTGAACGGTCGTGGGTGAGTGAAAGAAAATTTTGAGAAAATTCGGCTGTGCGATCTTTTCGAACTACTCCTGCAAATAATTTATATGTCGAAACTTTTGGACTTCAATCTGGAATCAACCTCACCTTTCCTATTCCTTTCCTTAAAAAAATACCATTATAACAGTCAGTTTTTATCCCAATCTAATTGAAATCAGACTTCTTAGATCCACGCCGTATTCACTCTTACGCAGAGTGAATACGACGTGGATCTAAGAAGTCCGATACTTTTATGATAACTATAGTTTTTTTTTTAACAATTGCGTTATCTTTTCTTGATACTTTTTTTTAGTTAATACTGTAGAAGCCAAGGAGGGTGAATCCAAATACTTTTTATGGACTGCAGATTATTTCCCTAAAAGTGGACTTTACCTCATTTTTCATGTATATAACGATTCCGTGTCGACGATAATGCAGATAGGGGACAAGGACCCGTCAACTGAGAAGTACGTGTATCACACCCGACCCCTGGATTCTGTAAATATACAGTTTGAGGTGAAAAATATAACAGTTCAAGATGCCGGATATTACGCAGGAGGACCCTCTAAGGCAGATGCTTTGACAGGAGAAGGAGTTGTTCTTGTTGTTTTTGGTAAATTCTGTGATTTATATTGCAAGTTATCTAACTCTTTGTGTCAACTTTCTACAGCAATTGTCTTATATTGTACACGTTAACAACTGGGAGGGGGATTGCTAATTTTTTGTATATCACTATGAATTCTGTGCTTGTTTATGTATTCAATGCTAAATGCATTGAACGCGCATTAAAATTTTATTTAGGAAAGCTCGTGAAACCAACAAAAACAGGAATATTTAATGTCAAGGTGTTAGACTACGCTTTCGCCCCTCCCTACAACCTGGCGTAAAAATGTGAACAAATTTGAATTTAAGGATGCCTACATATTACTAAGACTTATCATGGCATTGCTATATATTACGAAAATTTATATTTATATTACGAAAAAAAGATTTTACATATTTTGCGATTGAGAATAAATTGCAGGATTAAACTGGTATACATAGACAAATTGAAGCGAGTGTCCGAAACCAAATTTCAAGATTTGCACTTCACAAGCATTGATGATAATTTTATTGAAATAAAGAAAAAAATGTAATGTACGATGTATATATACACTGCAATACAGTCACATTTAAGAAATACTTTTCAATTTTGTTTTTTTTTTTAATTCAGGAAAACCAGTTAAAGCACAAATAACTGGAAATCTGAATATTCAAGTCGGGAGATATGCCTACTTGAAATGTGAAAGTATATCTACGTCTGCTCCGTCCTATTACAAGAGGTTCCCGCCATTAACGTACTCATGGTTTGTCAACAACAGCAGGCTTGAAAGAGAGGTTATACAAACCTATAGATTTACTGTCACCGATGATGCTAAATACAACAGATACAGCTGTCAGGCAAAGGAAACGCTAGAATCAGAAAAAAGTGAAGAAATTCAGATTAACCCTTTATGTAAGTTCTTGTATATTTGTAAATTTTTATAAGCGTATAGTAATATTTTTGCAAAGAATGTGATAATTTGAATTATATCTGTATGACTTGGTAAAAATTGATTGATTTAAAAAAACTGCTTATAGGTGCAGAGTCGTGGATAAACATTTTTAATCATGAACATTAACGGTGAAAAGTTGATTTTTCAGAAGTGGATTTTGGCTATTGAATTGAACAAAAAAGAGTTCGAAAATAAACAAGTACTCGTAATTTCATTAATGTGTAGAAATTACAGCCAACTTTTATCTAGTCACGTATGCAGAGTCACCCCCCTACTATTTACCAAGTAGATTTTTTTTCTATGTAGCTCGTAAAACGATTGGTTAGCAAGTCGGGTGTATATTTTCGTATACCCTATCCGAGGCAAGGTTAATAACATGACGTCACTGTGCATAGTTTCTCTAAAAAAAAAAAACAATAAACAGGACGTCATGACAAATAAATACCAGTAATTAGCCTTGGGTTAACCAAGAATTTCATTTGATAAAATTCGAATTCGTGAACTAGGTGAAAACAATGGTGAACGGAAATCTACACCGTGTTTAATTCATGCTCCCTTTGGCTCAAGGATTATGAAAGAAACTTGTTAAATCTCCGTACACCAGTTATTGAACCCTAATAACAGTAATATACCCCGTTACTTTGTAAATCAGATATCTAACAAACAACGACGTCCTTCATTTATACCAATCGAAATTTTAAAATTTCCTATGAAAACTAACCCGTGACATAGAAATATTTTGAAAAGCACAAATATTTTTTTCTTCACAGATGGTCCAAGGAGTGTTATAATTTCTCCTACACCTGGTAATGAGGTTAGTGTTCACGAAGGGGGAATGTTTGGTCCCTACAATTGTTTATCTGACTGTAACCCACCTTGTACCTTACAATGGAAGTATAGCAGTTCAAAAGGCGATTTTCTCAATCTCTCATCTGCTGGAAACTTTTCAATTTCTTTACCAAAGACAAAAGCAGTTAGAGCTAATATAACGTTTATTCGATGTGAAGTAAATGGCATCGAAAAAACAGAAGTATCAGACATCAAACTGAACATTCAATGTAAGTACCTCGTGCAACTTTCATAAGAAACATTTTCCGCATTTATGCAAAAAGACATAAGGAAAAACAAATACTTAATTCTCTTTACTGATGGTCCAGAGAGTGTCATAATTAATTTTAAACATATTCCAAGGGTTATATTTTTTTGATTTACAGATGTACATTTGAACATTTACAAATAAAACACTTAAAACAGAGTATTATAAATCTTGAGAAACTTATAATAATTAAAGTGACATGTCAGTAAAAATAATCATGACTGAAAAATAATACTTGGCAAATTTACAAAGAATTTTTCAAAAGCCCGAATACTTCAGATAATGTATCCTGATATATAATATGGAAATTGGTATGCTCTATAATAATAAGATCTATTTAAAGCAAATTCTTTTGGTATATAATCAATTCAAGTTTAATTTTGTGCATAAAAAATAAATATGGGAACCAGTTTTAATCACAGAAAATAAAGAAATTGAATGATTTATATACCAGATATTTGTGATTAAATATTCATGTTCAGTGTCATTTATACATGTTGGTACGAAAGCCTTCTTCCTTCAGGAAATCTAATTTCAAATCGTTTCCTTGCACGTACTGTTCATAAATGATCTTTGCATACATGTGAGTATTCCTGGCATACTACTCAGAATTAATTTGAACTGCCTTTTAAAGCTCCATTGTTTATTAGAAATCTCATTTCTGAATTAGCGCCCTTTATTAAATTGATAAACCCTGCCCACAGCTGGGACTGCTGGGACTGCTCTGGGACTGCTCTGGGACTCTTTAATTAGCTGTCTCAGAAAGCAGTCCCTAGGACTGCTCTGGGACTGCTTTGTGTCAGGTTGGGTCTGATCGATACTATATATATAAAATTCGGACACATGATAGATTGGACCAAGGTCATAATTCCAAACAGAATTGCAACGTAATCGCAATGTGACATTCCATCAGTTCCTTCACTTTTCATTGATCCTTATGGTACACAAGTAACAGCTCTTCAAAAAGTTTGCCTGAATAGATCAATTAAAATCTGCATCAGGTGTGTTAAACCTTTTGAGCAATAATTTTGTTGATTTAAGGGGGCCGACTGTGGTTTTCATTGCGCAATATTTCGCGCATCATAGTAAAATGAAGCATATTTACTGTTTTAGAGCAATTTTTAGCTTCAATAATAAAATTAAACAAAATTAAGAAATAACAGGTTTAAAATGTAATTACAATTTTATTTAACTGATTTTGCAATTGATAGGTAGGTTGACGTCGTTTCAGTGTCTTTTTGACGTTATGATAAACTCAAGTTCTTAAAGAAAGGGGTAATAAAATGTTATTAAAGAAAAAGTAATGAACATACGCTCTTGAAATTTTAAACATAGAAATTTGAGAATATCTCCATTATTTTTATTATGTTTTCACGTAGATCGTTTGTGCCCGTCATATTTAGCAGTACTCTAAAAACAGCAGGGAAATTCGTTAACTTTTGGGATTTTGAGATGCCACATTTAGTAACAAGAGGTAGAATTTTGTATTTCTTAAATATATTGTACAATATAATATTATTCATCAAATAGTATAGTTTGAACAAAAAGTCTGTTGTAGTATTTGTATAATTTGCTTTAAAGTGCTTAAATTGGCATTTCCCTACTAGTATATAATCCTATAGTAAATATACCTGTATTTTGAGACGGTCCCTTAATATACCTGGACGTTAGATTTTTCCCAAAACTTGGCATGTATACTGAAGGTAATGTAAGTTATATATTGTATAAAAATGAAGACTCTCACTATTGCAGTTTCACAACATAAAACCCCAGTCGGCCCCCTTAAAACATGTCCTTATTTCATATTTTAGAACCTTCTGTAAATGAATTCTTGATTTCGGAGATTTACCAAGTGTTTTAATTAATACTCCCTTTGGCTCATGCGTTATGAACGAAACCCGGTAAATCTCCGTACACCAATTATTGATTCTTGATAACTATAAAAAAAACTCCGTTACTTTGTAAATCAGATATGCAACAAAAAATTACCTCCTTCAATTATACCAATCGAAATATTAAAATTTCCCATATTAGCCTGTGAAATATGAATATTATGGAACAAATAAATATTTTTTCTCTTCACAGATGGTCCAGAGAATGTTATAATTTTTCCTACACCTGGTAATGAGGTTAGCGTTCGTGAAGGGGGAATGTTTGGTCCCTACAGATGCTCATCTGACTGTAACCCAGTTTGTACCTTACAATGGAAGTATAACAGTTCAAAAGGCGATTTTCTCAATCTCACATCTGTCGGCAGCTCTTCAATTTATTTACCAAAGACAAAAGCAGTTAGAGCTAATATGACGTTTATTCGATGTGAAGTGAATGGCATCGAAAAAACAGACGTATTAGACATCAAACTCAACATTCAATGTAAGTACCTCGGGCAACACTCATAAGAAACCGCATTTATGCCAAAAAGACATAAGGAAAAACAAATACTTAATTCTCTTTACTGATGCTCCAGAGAGTGTTATAATTATATACCCCCACCTCTGTTGATTTTACCGTGATATCCTGGCTAACGATTGGTTGAAGTCTGTCACGTGAATGAGGTGCATTACTTACACCCAGTCATTTGTAAATCTATTACCGGTGAATGTAATACGTAACTAACACAAAGTGACGTCATAATAGGCACAGTATATGTGTGAAGAAGCATGTAGCAGCATTAATAAACCACAGATAATACGTAAATATTTCATTATTAAGGTAAATTCGTTACATAGTCTTTTAGTGACAGGGTACGGGATGATACCTGGTTAGTAGATTTCATACCTGACTCGGCTTCACCTAGCCAGGTATGAAATTTATTAACCAAGTATCATCCCGTACCCTGTCACTTAAAGACTATGTAACATAATACTCCATCCGAGGCAGAGATAAATAACATGGCGTCACCATGTATAGTTTCTCTATAAAAACAATCAACATGACGTCATGACGCATTGTAATGCAAAATACATACCATTGATTAGCCTTGGGTTTACGAAGAATTCGATTTGATAAAATTGGAAATATATTCGTGAGCCAGATGAAATCAAGTGTGAATGGAAATCTTTCCTGTGTTTTATGCATACTCTCTTGGGCTCAAAGATTTTGAACGAAACCTGGATAAATCTCCGTACACCACTTACTGAACCCTAATAACTATAATAAACTCTGTTACTTTGTAAATTAGATTTCCAACAAACAACTACCTCCTTCAATTATGCTAATCGGAATATTTAAATTTCCCAAATTAATCTATGACATAGGAATATTTTGGAAAGCACAACAATTTTTTTCTTTTCACAGATGGTCCAAATAGTGTTATAATTTTTCTAAACCTGGTAATGAGGTTAGTGTACATGAAGGGGGAATGTTTGGTCCCTACAATTGTTCATCTGACTGTAACCCATCTTGTACCTTACAATGGAAGTATAGAAGTTCGAAGGGCGATTTTCTCAATCTCACATCTGCTGGCAGCTCTTCAACTTATTTACCAAAGACAAAAGCAGTTAGAGCTAATATGACATTTGTACGATGTGAAGTAAATGGCATCGAAAAAACAGAAGTATCAGACATCAAATTGAACATTCAATGTAAGTACCTCGTGCAACTTTCATAAGAAACATTTTCCGCATTTATGCCAAAAAGACATAAGGAAAAACAAATACTTAATTCTCTTAATTGATGGTTCAGAGATTGTTATAATTATCATTTATATTATTTTGCATTGAGTGTACGCATCTTTATTTAAAACTTTCATCTTTAAAAACTAAGGAAAATAATATCTGAAGTTTATAACAAACACGTATCTTCATGTAATTGATCGATTGCGTTTCTGTAATAAAAAAATTTCTTTAAAAATTAACTGACCACTGTCTTAAGCTTTAATTTTTAGAAAAAGAATTGTACGTTTACAACTGAATTTTAACTCTTTTATACAATAACTTGATATTTATTTGACTTTTTTATCAGATTTATTGGAACCGAGGTTATATATTAATGGTAAACCCAGCAATGCATTAATCATTAATGAAACAGATCACGTTTTTCTGTCGTGTTTTGTCGAAGGAAATCCTATTCCAGAAGTCTCCTTTCTGAATCTCACTGGGAACCAAAACTATATACATAGCGTAAATCATAGGGTAAACTACACATTGATCAGAATGGTCCAGTGCTCTGACACGGGTACTTTCGAATGTGTCGGACAATCGACTGAGTTTGGGAAGAGGAATCAGTCCTTTAGTGTTAACGTTCTCTGTACGTATACTTTGTAACAGAATATAGAACTCTGCTAATAGTTAATGACTATCCATGGTCATTAATGCATTGATGTTTTGTAGGGTTAAATAATTAACAATATTTTTTTATGGAATTGCAGGTGACCCTCGTCTTGATGAACTCACTTTGGTGAATAAAATCTATAGATCAAGTAGCGGCCCGGGTGTAAAAGTTGTTGTAAGTTTACCAGTTGTTGCAAATCCCCTTACATCTACATCAGAGTTCGTTTGGTTGGGACCTAAACTTGAGTCAATATCTTTGAACGTTTCACAAAGAGATAACGTTGTGTACAAACACTGGATCAACAGCACCATTCCCGTTCCTGATGAGGAATCTTTCGGAACCTATTCGCTGAAATACAAAGGGAAAGACTTTGCTGATATTACAATTCACGCCAAAGGTAGGATTATTTTAAAAGATCTAAACATCTTGTTTAAAGCATCATAACATTTTCTAATATTTACATTTGCATATATTTTCCTTTATATAACACTACTGAAAGCAAGAGTTTTTATAACTGTATAAATACAGGTACGGGGTCAAGAGCTCATAGATGTGCGTATGGATAAATGTTCGACGTAATTTCTCAGTGACGTCATGAAGGGTCGACGCGCGTTTAGTGGATAAAATACATGCCATTGGGTTTGAAAAACAATGCATTTCACACGTTAAAAGTCAAAATCAAGCAAATTTAAAGTATGAATAAGTCACAAATGTAAATATAAGTAATAAGGTATCATTTTTTGAGTAATAAGGTATCATTTTTTGAGTTTTATTGGGATGTAAAACGAGTTGGCATATGATCAAATCTTCCATAAAGCCCGAAGGCTTTATGGGATTTGAACACGTGACAAACCCGTTTACATCCCAATAAAACTCAAAAAATGATACCTTATTTCTAAATTAAATATTATATATAGGTTGTATTATTGCTTTATGTTGTAATTTTCTTGACTTTTATTTCTGTAATGACGAGTAATGAAGTTTCTGTAGCACATCATGAAATAGACTCTAGTGCGCTAAAATTTCAATACTCATAAGCATACGTAGCTGCAATAATGTAGCCCTCTCCTTTTTCTTTTTCTTTTTTTTTTTGGGGGGGGGGGGCTAAAACTCCTTAGGATCTCCGTAATGGTGCAATGCGGCAGCGATTCACTCCCGCACGGATTTCGGCGCAAGTTTCAGTAAACGGCTATTTTATTAATATGTCTTACCTGGACTTCCAAAATGTAGTTATCTCAGACATAAATCGATTCAAATATTTACAGAACAATCCATACATCCGTATTTTCCGTGTATGTCAACATCACAACTTAAATTTATCCGTCATGTTTACTGACCTTGACAAATTTTAGTTTGGGTCAGCCAATGAGATTAAGGATATATAGGGAGCGGATTTCTTTAGAATTACCTTATTTTAAGGCTAAATATCACTGTTTACGAAAAAATAACACATGGAATGGTTTTATTTATGGATGTTTAGTGTTACTATTCATCATAATTATTCATAAACATCGACATTTGCTTTATTGAGTTATTCTAAATTTCTTGCGCAAGTCTCAGTAGTCACACGTGAACTGTCATGGCTACTGAGTAATGCACACAGATTTATTTTACATGATTTTCGTGTTTAACCGGGTATGATGTCTACAGTGAATAAAAATTTCGTCTTGTTAGAAGTAAATTGAATGTAAAAACATTTTATTCTGCCTGCAGTTGCCTGTATTAAAAATATTTTTGCACCATTACGGAGATGCTGTGGAATTGTATCCTCTCCAGAAAACATCAGATAAAAAAATTGGAGAGGGCTTCATTATTGCAGCTAAAGCATACGATTAAAAAACCTTCTTAAAACATTCGTGCTTAAAAATATTGTTTAACTAAAAGACAATATATAGTATGACCTAAAACTATTTCAAAGGTACTGTACATTGGGCACAATTTGCTAATAAAATAACAACTATAGAAGTATTTAAAATAAAAGAACCTGTTGATACGAGTAAAACAAAAACATGCCTCAAAGACCCTAAAACCACATAAGTGTTCTTGTATATTCAAAGTTATAGTTTTAAGCTGATCTGCATGCACATTTAGTTATTTTATCATGATTGTAATTGTTCCTGGTTGACAAAAGCCTGTTTTGCCTGTTTTGACCACACTTGATTTTTACATCCATGGCTGTACCTATTCTACAACCATTGCTGTAACTATTCTACAACCCTGGCTGTACCCGCGCAAGATAAACAACATCCACGACTATATACCCTGTCCTGGAGACACACTTCATTTTAAAACCATGACTCTAATTATAAAATCTTACAATTAGATTAAGTATTGAAATAACATAAACCATTATTATATTTTTCTTTTTAAGAAAATACAAAATCGCTCTGGAAACAATGGGGGAGGGGAGATGCAAAAACCCATGCCATCCATGATACATAATTTGCTATGAAGGCAATAATTCAGGATGTATAGAGTTGTATTAGCGGATCTAGAAGCACGGAGGGCCTTAAGTGTTTGCGCCTCTCCAATTGTTTCTCCTGGAATTGTGTTTTATTTGTTTGCTAATATGCGAAATAATCGTTAAGGGAAATAAACCCCTGCAGTATCAATAAAATGTCATCAATCATGATTTTCACTATGCAACTGCAAATGAATTCCATGCAACGTTTTTAATATAGAGAGACTTTTATGCAAGGACAATGTAAATTGCAGCATTTCCTTCTTCTTTTACTGCCACCAGGTCTCTTCAAGGAAGGAAAAGAAAAGTTCATAATACACTTCATATAGATAACTATATATTGCTAATGTCTTATCTGATAAAGTGGGGAAAAAAATCTATTTCCTAAAAATAGAAAAAAAAACAAGGAACAAAAACACAACAAGAAAAAGAACAAATGCAGAAAAAGACAAAAACTCTTCTCGAAGTGCATATCTCTTTCTTTTTTCGGAAAAAAAAACTTTTTACGCAAAGTGTTTATCAGTTTTAGCACATAATGAAAAATTTCCACATCTTCTCATTTTCCCTCCTTATATGTCGTATTTCATTTGATTATAAGATTTTTTTTTTCAATTTCCGAAGGCCCGTGTTTCATACCATGTTCTTAGATTAAGACATCCATAAAATGACCTTTGGCTTTTTGAACTCTGTTTTTGTCAGCTGTCACTGCCATGGAAATGTAATTAAATATTTCAAGGGTCTTTGGAGTGATATAACATAAACATATACACTGTACTAGTATGTATATTACTAATATGACAAATTAAATTTTACAGATTCTACAGAAATCTCTCTGACGACCTGGATTATTATTGGAGGCTTTATTGGTTTGACTATTCTGTTGCTGACGATCATTGGTGTTTATAAGCTCGCTTTTCGTCGAGGTAATTCTTTTTTTTGTTTAAAGCTGTCTTCCACGTGGCACAGTGGTTAGACCGTGTGCTCTAGAGTCGCGAAGTAAGGAGTCAATCCTTACATCGCGGGTTCGAATCCCACTGTGGGATGTTGAGACCGATCCTTCGGATGAGACCGAATAAACCGAGGCCCCGTGTCGCAGTAGGTGCTGGTACGAAAAAGATCCCTGCTCTCTGCTCAAACGTCCTGAGTGCCGAGCATAGGACAAAATTTGTAGCCCTCCACCGGCAGGTGGTGGCGTCTCCATATGAGTGAAACAATTGAGAGGGACGTTAAACAACATACAATCAATCGATGAATCTTTTCTATAGCTTGCCTTGTATAAGAACTTGTTCGTAATAGTGCATAATGTTATGTATCAAATCAACTGCATGGTAGTTGCCATCGATGACATTTATAAGGAAACATGAATGTTGTTAAATAAATAATGGAAGTTGAAGATTGATAGAGAATATGAAGTCATCATGTTGATTTAGTTGATATGTTACCATTAACGTCTTTCTTTAGTAAAATATACAAACATGAATCATATGTCTCTGACCCTGAGATATCTTGTATTTTGAGTTCAAGGAACACATATGTATATCAAATGAAAAAAAATCAAGTGAGCTGCCCTTGATAAAAACTAATAAGTTTTCGGATCACTTTGCACATAAGTTTTAAGTTAAGAAGAGGTCTCTACGCTGTTTACTTATTCTGAGTAGCAGCAAGAAATGATTTTCGTTCAAGTGGAATTTACTCCATAACAGGTGGGAATTCAGTGTTTCTTAAAACATGTAGAAAATGATTTTTAAAGCCCATGCGGAAAAAAGAGCAAAATAAAAGTTTAAGTAAGAGTGAAAGAAATGAAAATGAAAAAGTATAAAAAATATTTTCAATGTCAAAGTTTTTTTAAGTTTTAATCTATGTCTCTAGTTATCTTTTCATATATTTAACTAAAGTAACAATCTTCACAAGTTAAGTACGTCAAAAAAGGATCACATAATCTTAATCATAATAGAATAAAAAAAAGTCTTTTAGTCTCTAACGGGTAAAGTTTCAGAGCAAATGGAAACAAAAGAAGAAACAAAAAAAAAAACACAGATGAGCAAAATCATTCAAGAAGTCTTTCCAAAGACACTAAATAGACAGCCACATTATACATAAAGTGAAAGTACCTAATTTGAATATGCTCATAAACAAAGTTTTAAATATAGTACTTAAAACGATTCCTCAGAAACTACCAATCCTGTGAAATTGTAACCTAGTAGTGTCAAGTAAGTTTTGAAAAAGAATATATTCAATTTTCTGTGCTATGAAATTGTTGCAAATTCTTCAAAATGACTTAGTAATGACCGTACATAACTTTTAAAACTTACCACTGATACGTTTATTTTATCAATACCTCTGTTGAGAAGAATATTTGCATCACATATTTATCCCCCCGGTTGAAAAGTGGAAGGTAAATAGTGATCGTGATGCCCATCTGTCTGTACGTTCGTCTGTCAGTCCGTCCGCCTGCTTGTTGATCTTTGGGTATACTTTTCTAATTCGCAACTCTTTTACTTCAAATTGAAATTTAGTGAGACTATAACAGAATCTATGGAACATAGCAGCATTATGCAATTCAAATTTCATTTCTTGTTCCGACACTTTTCGGGTAGCTCATAGTAAAATGTTGACACCACGATATTGAATTGTACCCATCTCTTATCTGCAGCTCCTTCTATACTATTTAATAACATTAAACAATACTTAAGCAATTTTTTTCATAATGCAATTGTGACGTCCGAATTGTTATTATTTCGGGTCTCCCTGAGCAAAAACCTGGACTTCTGCCATGTCATGTGTATTCATATGGAATGTGGGATATCATTTAGCGAGCACAGTACCTCTGTTTTTTTCTAAATTCACAGGAATTAGAACAGGAACGATTCAACAATCTCAACCAGCTCACGATCTCAAGGTCAAAAAATATGACAACATTGATGACGCGCTACTTTAGAAGGACAAAATCGGAATCATCCTTCTCAGACACAGGAGGACGCAACTGAGAACATTGAACAAATATTGACAGATAATCAGAGTGTCAGTGAACATCTAGATAACCCATATGAAGTGTTAAAGCCAATCTAATTAAAATTACATGTTCCGAATCCGCTAGCGGATCGTCTTATTTTAATTAGATTAAATTAAAGCCTGATCAAAATAGATTCTTCTTGTTTTAATGATTAAAAAGAAATCAAAGTTAAAAGATTATTTTTATTAAACTCTGTATGGTTAGAGAGGAAAATTATTTGTACAATACTTTATAAGAAGATTTATCAGAAAAATCAGGAACATTAAAATTTAACTTTACAAGGGAGAACAATGCGAAAATCAACCAAGTGAACAATTCCTTATTCCTCCATGCAACATCATAAACGTTGGGGTGATAACAACTTAATGCCTCTTGATAAGACTCAGATATTATCCATCGTATCCAAACGTTAAAAAAATGCTTAGTCTGTTAATGTGAATATTCACGCGTGAGGGAAATTTACACTACTTGCGCGGTAAGCTAAGAACCGCATAAAATACCCCCGCGCGTATGGTCACAAATTTTCAAACTTCTGGAATAATTCTAGATTATTACATATACTGTTGAATCAGTCGTATATTAATCGTGGTATTGAATGCACGTGAGTAGATAAATACGAGGGCCGTTCAAGAATTACGCGGACTTCTCGCACAAAAAAATATTTGACGATATAATCGAGCAAAAGTCACACATGATATAAAAGAATCTTTACTTATATGGTCCCCAAAATTTCATATAAAAATGTAGTAAATTTATATCAATTTAGGTTGATTTTTCAAGTCATACTATTAAGTCACGGAGCAGCAAAATCTTCGATTTCTAAAAATGATATGAGCTTTCATTTTCTCAACATTTTCCCAAAATTTCCTGTACAGTTTGAGTTACCACATCTACTAAACATCCATGCACCATTTTTTGTCAAGCTTAAACTCTAGAAACCGAGTAAAGCATTTTCGTTTTTCGTTTTGTTGTTTTTATAACTAAAAGCTGCAGGTACTAATGAGATATAGTGTGACATTGGTCAATCACGTTCTTTTTAATTACAGTCTGGATAGTGGATAAAGAAGTCTAACGGTCTAGAATTCTAATTTGCTATTTGTAGACAAATGTCACGAATATTCGTTTTTGCTACATGTTTTATTGTGCATATTGGATCGATGGTGGCGATATCTCGAGCATTACACATAATTTAACGGTTTTGCCTTTTTACAGAAAAATCACTATAAGTACTTCAAATTTCACGTCAGAAATCTAAATACATAATAATGGAACAATGTAAAGAAATAATCGAGAAAATTGCCGAAAAATATCATGAATTATAGAAAATGAATGAGTTAAAATTTGCTATTTGTAGACAAATGTCACGAATATTCGTTTTTGTAAACTTTTCACATTTTCATGTTTTATTGTGCATAAAGAAAAATTAATGGAACCACTCAGGAAAGATGGTGGCGATAGATTCAATTTTGTTCCCCTGGGGCTAGGGTGGGGCCAAACTGGCCGACCACAGTTTTACATAGGAATATATAAAGGGAAAATTACATGAAACTCATGTGGAATAATTTAACAAAAGTGTGGTATCATGACCCCTGGGGATAGGTTGGGGCCAAAATGGCAGATCTAAGTTTTACATAAGAAATTATATTAGGTAAAAATTTTTAAAATCTTCTTCTCAAGAACCACTGGGCCAGGAAAGATGAAACGCATGTGGAATCATCCTCAAGTTGTGTAGATTCAAGTTTGTTCAAATCATAACCCCTGGGGCTAGGGTGGGGCCAAACTGGCCGACCACAGTTTTACATAGGAATATATATTTTCAAAGGATGAAACTCATATGAAATCGTAGATTCAAGTTTGTTCAAATCATGAGCCCCGGGGCTAGGATGGGGCCAAAATGGCCGACCACAGTTTTACATAGGAATATATACATGTATAGGAAAAATCTTCTTTTCAAGTACTTCAAAGCCATATGATTAATGATATTTATATGGAATCATCCTTAGGTAGTGTAGATTCTAGTTTGTTCAAATTTCACTCTGGGAGGTTAAAATTCAAGCCCCCCCCCCCCCCCTTCAGTAAACTTTCAATCTAAATACATAATAATGAAATTTTGCCCAAGATTTATTGAAATCTTAAATACATGTATACATATTTCTGTAAAATTCATAACAATATGCATATGACGTCTGTAAGAATAAATAATAGCAGAGTCCGCGTAATTTTTGAACGGCCCTCGTTTATCATAGACAGTGATGAAAATGTAAATGGTCATTTTTTAAAATTGTGCGATGAAAAATATAAAGGATTGAACATTCTGATTACCATCTTTTAAATGTTTAGAAAATCTATATATCTGAATAACTTCTCCCATCTCAATCCCCATACACCAATAGTTAAACTTATATGTATAGAGCAGCCCGGTCCTCCGGGCTGCAATTACAATAAAGCGTACACCAGTTGTTCACACTTCACCATATTTGACTGTACACATCGACGTAATTTTTATTAATCCAACAGTATAAATTCGTATTGATTTGTTTAGTTTGTTTGTAATTATTTTTAATTTTTTCTTTCTAATCAATTTCAAAGGGGAACAACTCGATGTTAGTAACGATGACCGCCTACTTTTTTCTCAGTATTTCGTGCGACCGCGTATATTGCACCCACTCGAAATGTTTGATGGTCACAAACACGTACTTAAGAACCAGTGTAAATAACCACTTTTACAGTATATTATTTTGGGGTTCTTTTCACATCTTTTATCTTACCTGAAAATTACTATGTCTTTTCATTTAACATTCGTTTAATTTCGGGATGTTGTTAATAATTTAGTTATAAAAGTCTCTCAGTACATGAACGTATTCTTTTTTGTTGTTGTTGTTATTGTTTTGTATAACCGCATGCATATTTGTTGAATATTTGAGACAACTAAAACATCGAAATATTTATAAAGTAAAATAGCAAAAAATGGTAAATACACATAAAGAAGTGTAGTATTTAATGTCAAATTGTGTAAACAATTACATATTTATGTGCAAAAATAAATAGTTTGTATGTTTTATACTCTAGTCAAAAAAAAATGTTTCATAAATAACGTTTGTGTACAAAATGTTAAACAATCTTGGAAAATTATGGCGAGAACCTGTAAATATTTTGTCTGATGTTGCATGTCATTCAGTTTATATATTCGTACATTATGTTTATTTTAAAACAATTTTTGGTTGGAAAAATTATGTAGTAGGCCTACTTGATATGCCTAAATAATTGCGTTCAATTTTAGAACAATTTAAAAGTGGAATTTTACCACTATGAATAGAGACCGGTAGATATTATTATGAACCTGTTGAGAATAGAATTTGCACAGTTTGTTCTAGAAATGATGTCGAAGATGAAGTTCAATTTTTATTGCCTTGTCTCTTGTAATCTGAATACTAATCTAAACTTTTTGAAGACATTGGCTTTAATTAAATGAAATAGTCTGATGTGGATTTACTACGTATAGTTATCTCAAATTATCCTCGACAGGTTGCAAATGATTCGTATTTAATTTTTCATTCATGCGGAGACAATTATTTATTTTCAGAAAATAAGAAGATAAATTATGAATTGTATTTTATTGTCATACAAGTATTCATCTACCAATTTTTTTTATTTCAGACACATAAAACATACTTTAGCGGGTTTTTTTTCATAATGCAATTGTGACGTCCGAATAGTTATTATTTCGGGTCTACCGGAGCAAAAACCAGGACTTTTGCCATGCATGCATATTCATATGGAATGTTGGATATCATTTAGCGAGCGAAGTACATGTACCTCTATTTTTTTTTTCAAATTCACAGGAATTAGAACAGTATCGATTCAACAACCTCAACCAGCTCACGATATCGATTTCAAGGTCCTGAATAGAACATTTGACGACATTGATGACGCAACTGTAGAAGAACAAGATCAGAATCATTCTTCTCAGACACAGGAGGACGTAACTAAGGAGACTGAACAAATACAGCTACTGACATATTGTCAGAATGTCAGTGAACATCAAGAAAACTATTATGAACGGTTAAAGCCAATCTAATTAAAATTAAGATGTTCCGAAACCGCTACCGATTCTCAAACAGTTTGTACTTTTTCGTTTGTGTTATTCCCTTAAGGATGCCAGACTGGCGGACTATACATTAAATTAATACCCAAATTACTTTAATTTAACGTAAGACAGTACCAGTAATGAATATGTAGCTGTGGAACTAATTCTAGAATGTTTACCGAAGCTTTTGATACAATCGAATCTGGTTGGCTACTCTTTTTGTGTTTATTCAATCAAAAGGTCGCTGTTGTTAGATGTTTGAGAACGTTAGCGGATCATCTTATTTTGATTAGATTGAGTTAAAGCCAGGTCAAAATAGACTTGGTTAAATAGAGATGTAACTTTTTTGTATTAATGACTTAAAAGATATCAAAGTTAAAAGATTATTTTTATTAAGGTGGCAGAGGATAGTTTCGGATTAAATACCGGTCTTAAATTAGAAAAAAAATAGAAACCTAAGGTTTGAATGTATATTATAGATAATTTTATCGCTAGAATATTTTATGAGTGCATTTGGAGGGAACTCAGGTGGCGTTTTATTATTAAAATATGACACTTAAGTGTCACTACTACTGTATATGGGATATGGACTAGAAATAACTTTTCCGGTATTTCACCAGAAAAGCGGGGTGGGTTCATAGGATGAATTGTACCTTGAAAACGAGGTGGTTGAGCCATTGTCTTTTGCTGTTCAGTAATATGTACAAATGTTGTTCTGCAATTTGTGTGGTAGCTTAAGTCATTAGAATGGGCCTGGAAGCAGTTTTGGTTGCGGCGAAATAGTGAAAATAGGCTTGATTTACATGAAATTTTGAGATTGTCCCTGCGCGATCATTAAGGCTCACTGTGTAAGTTTTATTCCTAAAAGCTTTAAATTCCTCAAGGTACTATACCATACAATTATTACAGGTAGAGAGAATTTCAAATTTTCCAATGCACATTTTAAAAGCAGCTCAATATCAAGTTAACCGTCAGTCAAACGTTTTGATTGCCAAAAAAACTAACCTCTGCCACCTAAACTCTGTATGACAAGATAGGGAAAAATAATTTGTACACTTACATCTATCAGAAAAATCAGGAACAGCAAAATTTAACTTTACAAGGGAGAACAATGCGAAAATCAACCAAGTGGACAATTCCTTATTCGTCCATGCAACATCAATAACGTTGGGGTGATAACAATTTAATGTTTCTTAACAAGACTTAGATATTATCGATCGTATCCAAACGTGCACTATGCCTAGCAGTTAAACATACTGTAAAAGTGGATATTTACGTGTGGGGGAAATTTACACTAATTACGCGCTAAGCTAAGAACCATATAAAATACCATCGCGCATATGGTCACAAAATTTCAAACTTCTGGAATAATTCTAGATTATTACTTCTACTGTCAGACCTCTAAATATTTTGTCTGATGTTGCATGTCATTCATTTAATATACCGGTATTCATACATTAAGTTTATTTTAAATTATGTAGTAGGCCTACTTGATATGCCTTAATATTTACGTTCAAATTTCGACAGGTTTCAAAGTATTTGTATATTTCATTCATGCGGAGACAATCAGTTATTTTCAGAAAATAAGAAGATAAATAATAAACTGTGTTTTCTTGTCATATTCATCTAACATTTTTTTTTATTTCAGACTCTACTAATCAAAGAATAGAGTATACTTAAAAATGCATTTGTTTCATCGCTATGTTTATTTGCATGATACTTTTGTGTTTATCTCTTAATGTTGTGCTCTTTATTTTTTAAATGTTTTCAAGTTTATGGTGACATTTGGTGTAAATTATTATTTCATATAGTTTTTGAATACAAAAATGACTTTGTACACATCTCACTATAGATAAATAAATATATTACTTTTTACTATTCAATAATCTTTTTAAAAAATAAACAACAATTATTAGAATAATAATTTATATTTATGTATTTAATGCGATAATTGTTTGGAGGTTTCCAGTAACATTTAGGTTGGTAAATTGTGAAAATTTACAGATCCACGCCTTGTCTGATGATTTCATTGTGATAGAAGGTGTAAGGTCACGTGGTCAGCTCAGCGAGTCATTCACACTCGCGCGCTCACCACCGCTAACATGAGGCACGTCTATTTGAAGACCCACCTCCATCCCAGTATTCCTATCACTTAATACGATGATTAATGTGTCTTGTGAAATTATTCATTATAGTTTTTACTTAATTGTTTTACTGCTTCTGTGTATTTTGTTTTGATTACTATCATTTTGCAAACCTTTTCTTCCGAGATTTTGATTGTCTTTTTGATGTTCAATTTTTTTGCCAACTTTTTCTTATGATGTTTGCCTATTTTGCGTTGATGTGCCATCTTTTTGCTAACTTTTTCATATGATGTTTTTATTGTCTTGTCTTACAGATACTTTTTTCTAGTCATTTTAGGGGATCGGACATTATCATATTTTACGTAACTGAGAAGCAAAGCTTGTGAATCTGATACCCTTCTTATTTGTTAAATTGTTCACATTTATACTGTCATTTTATTAAATGACATTATTCATCTACATGAAAGTGTTTTATTTGACTTTTACAAAATTAGCAAAAACAAGCTGCGGTGATATTGCCTATAAGCATTAGAAGACATAAATGTCATTTATATAATATTGAATTAAGGAATGCCCCTAAAGATATTACTTTGGTTACTACTCACAATCCGAGAAACAAGAATATTACCTCAACCGTTCGTCAACTAAACAAATTACATGTAATAGGTGGACTGTAGATGGTGTAAAGTAAATTATTACATTTAAAAAAACATATATATCAAAAGTCAAAAAGAATGTAGACACACGCAAAACTGTTCATTAATATTGTTTAAGGACAAAATTGTTCCTTTTTGTTAATACCATTTAGGGTATATCAGTATTTAACTTTTTCTTCTATAGATTCTCTGAGATGTCATTATTGTACAAATTTTGCAATCCCTATAATGCAGTAATCACTTGATGTGTGAGATTCCGAGTAAAAATGGGCGGCCACAAGGTCATTGGTTTCTCTTCTAATGAGTGTGAGACATGTCTTTGGTATTAAGTCCCACCAGTTTCTCCCACATACACAGTTTTATTACATTTTTTTACAAAAATATCCTAATACAACATTACAGGATTTACAATTGATATAATTTTTGACGTGATAAATGTTTTCCTTATTTTCTAAATTTGATTTGTTTTAATAATATATTTTTAAAGAATACATTTCTTAGCAATACATGGCTCACATAAATTGCCTTTCTTTAAAAAAAAAATAAATTACTATGCTTTTTTAAACTAATCACGACAAAGATTAAATCAATTGTAAATTCTGCAATCAAGTAAAGAAAAGCTGGTGGGACTTTATACCAAAGACATGTCTTAAATTTTTCATTCAAAAACATTATATAAAATTATATTAAATTCAGAGAAAACAAAACAGGAAACATGAAAAAATTAGATGAAAATTTATATAATTCAGGACACAGCTCAGTTTTCAGTGAAATCTCTTCATCTAATAGCTAACTGCATGATAACCTGATAATATAATATTTTTATCAGAGTTAGACTAATTTTATATTTCATCATTATTTTTTAAACTTCTGAAAAGAATACAGAAGTCATGTTTGTATGCTTTTTTGTTAATTTCTCTCCAATTCTATAAAATTCAGAGAAATCAGGAAATACGAAAAAAAACTTAATGAAAATTTATATAATTCAGGACACATTTCAGTTTCAATTAAATTTTCATCTGATAGCTAACTGCAAGATATCCTGATAATAGAATATTCTCATCAGAGTAAGACTTTTTATATTTCATCATTTTTTTTTTTTTTGAAACTTCCGTAAATAATAGGGAAGTCATGTTTGTATGCTTATTTGTTGAATGTCCCTCTCGAGAATTCTTCACACATATGGAAATGCCGCCACTTACCAGTGGTGAGCTACAATTACATGTATTTACCTATACGCCGCACTCGCGGTCATTAAGCAATGTGGGATTTTTGTCGTGCCAGCATCTACTAAACACTGGACCTCTGTTTATACTGCCTCATCCGAAGGACCAGTCTCCACGTCTTGCATTGAATTCGAACCTGCGACACAACAGTAGGATCAACTGCTTACTCCGCAAACTATGTAATATTGATTCAATATGTAGTGTTACCAGTTTCAACTTCTTTGCGAAGTTATGTATGAGAGGATTTTTTTTCAGAATGTCAAATAAAACGTAGATAATAAAAAAAAGTCTTGTTACCTTAATATCAAAGATAAAGCTCTTCCAATTTCATCATAGTTATGTCTGATTCTAGGTAGAGAGTAATGGTAAGAGTTCAAAAAACAATTCATATGTTATTTAAGCAGTTTCTTTTTGATTTTTCTTGGTATTAAAGTTAACAGCAGTTTATTCTATTTGATTTTCTATTGCAATTTATTTTAATTGGCTTATGCACGGATGATAAAGGTAGTAAAACGAGCATTATTGAGTTTGATAGCTTTTCATTGTGACGTCATTAAAGAGCTTCGCTTTAACACAAAGCTTAAAATATCGAACAAACAAGATATGTTTGTGAAAAACTATGCAACAAAGTGAGAAAAAACTATTTTTAACATTTAGGTCCTAGTCAAGATCACAAAGTTATTGGTGTCATTTGAAACAATTTAATTAGTGGAGTATGCGTACCAAATATGAAGTCTCTTTTTCCAATGGTTCAAAAGTATGGCGAAAGTTCAAAAGTTATTTTTAGCAAAAAGGTCAAAATCAAGGTCATTGACCTTGGTATCATTTAAAAGTGCGTAAGTAGTGGAGTATGCATACCAAAAATGAAATCTCTATCTCATTATCGGCGACGCATAAGGAAATTAGAAGATAAATCTTCAATTATATATTGCAGGCTTTTAACTTATCTCGATAATAATCCATTTCGCACACATTTACTTTGACTGAAAAGAAGGTTCTATATCTTTTTTTTTAAATGGTACTTACAAAGGAAATTATGTACATCAAAGGAGATTGAAACATGGTTACATATAAGATAAATTTATAATTAAAGTTTAGTGTTAAAATAATGACTGGCAAAATATTATTCTTGAAGTGAAATAAATAAAAGACCTTATTAAAAACAAAATATTTTTCCGGAAAATATACCGATATAAATTTATGAGATTGGAAAATATACACAGTATTTAATATTTGACTTCAGGATTCATAGAAGAAAAGTAAATATGCGGAAGAAAAGACGACCGATATGATTAACATGGTGACGATTAAATGGGGAAAATACAAATTACGATAAAATAATCTAAATGCCTGACCTTTGTTCTGTCACGGAAGAAACTTCGTGGTCATGAAATGTGTACTATAGAAATTTACATGCAGTAAAAAATAGATTACATGTAAATATGCATAAATATTAATGAGTTTATCTTTGGAGGCGTCCTTGGATTGCGCCACAAGCTCTCAAGCAATGACGCCTAACAAGGGGATTTTTTTTTTAAAAAAAAAAACAAACAATTTTATCAAAACAGTAAATTACAGAAATTTTACAGCATTGTTTTTACACTATTTTTTTTTTCTCTTGTATACAACAGTACTGAACATGAAGTACATGATGTTACATGTTTTTAAGACTACATGTTCTTGATAAATAACAAATACTGATGCAACAAATTCATTAGCATTCAACTGTCAGCTGTTCAAGTGTGGATCAAGGGAAGAACAAAATTACTGTAAAGAATGTTTAATATATTTGTAAAATTTATAACGGTCTTTATGTTAGCTCAAGTCAATGCAGACATATTTTTAAATACAATTTACATGAGCAGCAAGCCGCTGAGTTCATATCAGAACTCAAGTCTATGTATGCAGATTTTAACACAATTATACAATTTACATGATTAGCCACTCCACTGAACTAATGTATCTTACATGTACGTGTAATTCAAAGACTATGGAGGTTGATTTTAACATACATCTTCCATGAGCAGCCAGCGGCTGAACTCAAGTATCTTACTTGTAGTTCAAAGACCAGTTTCAACATAAAAATTACATGAGCAGCCATAAGCAGTCTATGCAGGCAAAATCAAAAACATGGTTTCATGGGTAGCCAATTGTTTAACACATTTGTGAGCAAAACTTTTCTGACATTACTGACAGAATACAGCTTATATGGACAACCATATGGTTTCCTCTTGTACCTTAGCTCACAGTCTACTCAGGTAATATTAAGATCAAAATATGTGGAGCATACAATTTCCATGGACAGCCATATGCATGTTACATGATTTATGTGTCCTATTTTGAGCAAAACTATGCTAACTTCCTGACAAGATTATTTACAGTATATAAGCAGCCATATGCGGAAGTCATTGACATTAGTAAGCAGACTATGAAAAACATTATAAGAACATCAATGCTGGACCAACTATATAAATACAATTTAAATAAGCAGCCAAGTGCAGACCTCATAAAAATTTTAACTGAATTATACAGAGTTGATGATTATAGAGGATAAGCATTTTACAACATTTGAGCAACCATATACTGGTATCATTACCAGATTAAGTAAATTAACGATAGAACAATAAATAACATTACAAAAGAAGATTAAAACATTGCT